TGGAAAAGTAGGTGCCTCTTTGATTTCTGAGATCGGCCCTCATGGTCTCTGAGCAGCCCAGCTTTTGAGAAAGCAAGCCTCTTCGATTTCTGAGATCGGCCTTCGTGGTCTTTGAGCAGCCCAGCTTTTGAGAAAGCAAACGCCTCTTCGATTTCTGAGATCGACCCTCGTGGTCTCTGAGCAGCCCAGCTTTTGAGAAAGCAAACGCCTCTTCGATTTCTGAGCAGGCGCCTCTTCGATTTTTGAAGCTTCGTCGAGTGCAGATTTTTATAGGGGCTGACATTAAGTTCCAAAACACACTTGAATATCCACCAGTAGAAAGCTCCATTCTTGCACTTCTAAAGATCTTGATTTGTCCGACCTCTTCTCTCTTCAACACCTTTGAAAATGTCTGGCCCCTCCGACCGTCGTTTTGACTTGAACCTTGTTGAAGAGGCAGCCCCGCCTTCTCCAGACAACATATGGCGCCCATCCTTCGTCTCCCCTACTGGTCCTCTTACCGTTGGGGATTCCGTGATGAAGAATGATATGACCGCTGCGGTAGTGGCTAGGAACCTTCTCACTCCCAAAGATAACAGACTACTTTCCAAACGGTCTGATGAGTTGGCTATTAAGGATTCTCTGGCTCTTAGTGTTCAGTGTGCAGGTTCAGTGTCTAATATGGCCCAACGCCTATTTGCTCGAACCCGCCAAGTTGAATCATTGGCGGCTGAAGTGATGAGTCTCAAACAGGAGATTAGAGGGCTCAAGCATGAGAATAAACAGTTGCACCGGCTCGCACATGACTATGCTACAAATATGAAGAGGAAGCTTGACCAGATGAAGGAATCTGATGGTCAGGTTTTACTTGATCATCAGAGATTTGTGGGTTTGTTCCAAATGCATTTATTGCCTTCGTCTTCTGGGGCTGTACCGCGTAATGAAGCTCCAAATGATCAACCTTTGATGCCTCCTCCTTCTAGGGTTCTGTCCAGTACTGAGGCTCCGAATGATCCCCCTCCGGTGCCTTCTCTTTCTGGGGCTCTACCGACTGCTGAGACTTCTCCTAAGCAACCTTTGTGAAGGCTCCCTCTTGTTTGTTTATTTTGACTCAAGTATATGTACATATTTGTAATTTATCGGGGATATCAATAAATAAGCTTTCCTTCATTTCAACGTATTGTGTTAAATACATCAAAGCCTTCTTCGCTAAGTTCTTTGAATTTTCTTTTGTTGAAGCTTGTATGTTGAAGCTTTGTGAGTGGAGCATGTAGGTTGAGGTAGTGTTCCCTTAATTTCCCAAGTGAGGAAAACTTCTCGGTTGGAGACTTGGAAAATCCAAGTCACTGAGTGGGATCGGCTATATGAATCTTAGAACGCCATTGTGTTCTGTCCTGTGTCATGTCCTCCGTTAGATTCAAGTACTCGAAGTCTTTTCTTAGGGTCTCTTCCAAAGTTTTCCTAGGTCTTCCTCTACCCCTTCGGCCCTGAACCTCTGTCTCATAGTCGCATCTTCTAATCGGAGCGTCAGAGCGTCAGTAGGCCTTCTTTGCACATGTCCAAACCACCGTAACCGATTTTCTCTCATCTTTCCTTCAATTTCGGCTACTCCTACTTTACCCCGGATATCCTCATTCCTAATCTTATCATTTCTCGTGTGCCCACACATCCAACGAAGCATCCTCATCTCCGCTACACCCATTTTGTGTACGTGTTGATGCTTCACCGCCCAACATTCTGTGCCATACAGCATCGCCGGCCTTATTGCCGTCCTATAAAATTTTCCCTTGAGCTTCAGTGGCAAACGGCGATCACACAACACGCCGGATGCACTCTTCCACTTCATCCATCCAGCTTGTATTCTATGGTTGAGATCTCCATCTAATTCTCCGTTCTTTTGCAAGATAGATCCTAGGTAACGAAAACGGTCGCTCTTTGGTATTTCTTGATCTCCGATCCTCACCCCTAACTCGTTTTTGGCCTCCATTTGCACTGAACTTGCACTCCATATATTCTGTCTTTGATCGGCTTAGGCGAAACCTTTAGATTCCAACGCTTCTCTCCAAAGGTTAAGCTTTGCATTTACCCCTTCCTGAGTTTCATCTATTAACACTATATCGTCTGCGAAAAGCATACACCAAGGAATATCATCTTGAATATGGTCCTGTTAACTCATCCATTACCAACGCAAAAAGGTAAGGACTTAAGGATGAGCCTTGATGTAATCCTACAGTTATGGGAAAGCTTTCGGTTTGTCCTTCATGAGTTCTTACGGCAGTCTTTGCTCCTTTATACATATCATGTATAGCTTGGATATATGCTACTCGTACTCCCTTTCTTCTCTAAAAATCCTCCAAAGAATGTCTCTTGGGACCCTATCATACGCTTTTTCCAAATCTATAAAGACCATGTGTAAATCCTTTTTCCCATCTCTATATCTTTCCATCAATCTTCGTAAGAGATAGATTGCCTCCATGGTTGAGCGCCCTGGCATGAACCCGAATTGGTTGTCCAAAACCCGTGTCTCTTGCCTCAATCTATGCTCAATGACTCTCTCCCAGAGCTTCATTGTATGACTCATTAGCTTAATACCCTTATAGTTCATGCAATTTTGTACATCGTCCTTATTCTTGTAGATAGGCACCAAAGTGCTCGTTTCGCCACTCATTTGGCATCTTCTTCGTTTTCAAAATCCTATTGAAAAGGTCAGTGAGCCATGTTATACCTGTCTCTCCCAAAACTTTCCACACTTCGATTGGTATATCGTCTGGACCTACTGCTTTTCTATGCTTCATCTTCTTCAAAGCTACAACCACTTCTTCCTTCCGGATTCTACGATAAAAAGAGTAGTTTCTACACTCTTCTGAGTTACTTAACTCCCCTAAAGAAGCACTCCTTTCATGTCCTTCATTGAAAAGATTATGAAAATAACCTTTCCATCTGTCTTTAACCGCGTTAATGACAAAATAAAAGGTAAAATAAATAGTATCAGGTTTGACTTTTTAGTGTAAAAATATGATTTTTTGTTAAAGTAAACAATACCGCGAGATTTTTGTTAAAACTTTCTTGATAATATCTAAAATAAAATAAAAAAACCAAAAATCAAGAAAAACAAAAATAAAATCTAGCAGCCTCCAGCATCCCCAACCTCGACGGCAGCCCCTACTTAACCACAGCAGACAACCACCATACCCCGCCTTCGTGCTTCCTCTGCTCCACATCGCTGAACAAGGCGTTTCTCTCTCTCTCCTCTCAAAATTGCTACACCATATTTAGGATTTAGATCGATATCGTTCGAACACATCACCACCAAATCAAACAAAATCGTTGATGTTAACTCAGTTTCCTTCCCTTCAGTTTCAAAATCGTACATTTCTAAGTACGGATCGGCCGCCGAGGTTGATCTCGCAGCAGTGTCCGAAGCCATGGCCTCCGATTTTGGCACCTTAATGCATACAGATTACATAGCGAGGGGAGTGAGAGAGGGTAGGGCTTTGATTTTGGGGTGGCTTTGAGATTGTAGGGTTCTGTGCTCATAAACTCACCGATGAAAATTTCAATGTGGAATCTATGGATATGCTCGCCGACAGTGACCAGAGAAAATGACTTAAAGCAACTAAATGATCATGAATTACAGAAAAAAATTCGCAGTAATTGAAAAATCGAAAACAGAAACGCTTGCAATAAGAGATCTAAGCAAGCAAAGGCCGCCGGTGCTGAATGTAACCACCCCAAACAAATACAAACAAATATCCGTAGTTACGAGCAACAGAAACATTAATAAACTAATAAATTTTCAGCTTTTTAGACTAAATGGTCTTTTAGTTTTATTTGAAATTTAAAATTAATAGAAATAATTTTTAAATTTGTTCACTATCAATTATTTTAGTTTTTTTGTAAAAAATTATATTAAATAAAAATAAAATGATAAAAATATCATCAATTTAATAAATCATGGGTCAAATGATTTGATAAAAATTGAGACTGTTTTTATCATTTTAGCTTTATTTAATAGAAATTTTTTATGGAATGATTAAAATGATTGATTGTTCACAAACTTAAGAACTATTTCTATTAATTTCAAATTTCAAAGATTAAAATAAAAAATTACAAATCTTGATCATTTTAACTTTTTAATTTTTTAATTTTTTTTCTGATTATGACCAAATCTAATCACAAACATATAACATGGACGGCTAATATCAATTAATCTAGGATCCTCACAAAAAGGATTTTTATCCGCCTCACTCGACTCCCACCTCCCACACCGAACAATGCGGATCCAGTTTTTCTCCTACTTTCCGAATTCAATCCTATGACGACAAACACAACACGCTAATACAAACAGTATGCGCAGTACGCGTCTCCCTCCCCCTATCTTACGCACCCCCCCTTTCCCTCCCCCTCCTGCGCACCTCACTGTTCCATTGCCGCCATCTTCTCCGCCACGAAAAACACTTTTTTGAAAATCCGACAAAATCTGCCCGACTTTTTTTTTTTCAAATAAGTCGGCCGCAATAAGATCTAAGCAAGCATAGGCCGCAAGTGGCTCAATGTAACCACCCCAAACAAATACAAACAAATGCCCTTAATTACCAGCAACAGAAATATTAATAAACTAATAAATTTTCGACTTTTTTGTCAAAATGATTATTGAGATTTGCATGATTATCAATTTAATTTCTGAAATTTTAAATGATACTTAAATTTGTCCACCATCAATGATTTTACTTCTTTCATGAAAAATTATATTAAATAAGGATTAAAATGAAAAAAATTCTCAATTTAATAAATTTTTTCGATAAAAATTAAGAGTATTTTTGTCATTTTAAGTATATTTAATGAAGATTTTTCTTGAAATAACTAAAATAATTGATTATAAACAAACTCAAAAATTACTTCTATTAATTCCAAATCTCAATAACCAAAATAAAAAATTATGTAAATCTCAATGTCTTTTTCGTCTTATTTTTTTTATAATTGTGACTAAGCTAATCACAAACATATAACCTGGACGGCTAATATCACTTGATCTATAGGGTCCTCACAAAAGGATTTTCATCCGCCTCACTCGACTCCCGCCTCCCACACCGAACAAAGCGGATCCAGTTTTTCTCCTACTTTCCGAATCCAACCCTATGACGACAAACACAACACGCTAATACAAACAGTATGCGCAGTACGAGTCTCCCTCCCCCTATCTTACGCACCCCGCCTCCCTCCCCCTCCTGCGCACCTCACTGTTCCATCGCCGCCATCTTCTCCGCCACCAAAAACACCCTTTTGAAAATCTGACAAAATCTGCCCGACTTTTTTTTTTTTTTTTTTCAAATAAGTTGATGGATTCAGATAAACCCAGCAGCTTATTTCTGGGTAAGGCGATGAAGCCCACGTGGGCATCTCTGCTCCTCGTACTCACCATCATGGTTGTCTTTTCCTACCAAAACTTCTCGACCATGTCGAGGCTTCCGACATGGGTCGGGTCGATTTGGCCAACTGGAGTATCCGAAACCCGATTGGATGCCCCAGCCAGGAGCTGTGCCGGGTTCTTCGAGGATGTGCCGAAGCGGAAGGTGGTGATGTCCATCGAAGCTTTCGGTGGCGTTGGCGACGGAACCACCTCCAACACGGAAGCGTTTAGGAGGGCGATACTCCACATGCAGGCTTTCGGTAATACCGGTGGGTCCCAGTTGAATGTCCCCAAGGGGAGATGGCTGACGGGGAGTTTTAACCTCACCAGTAATTTCACGCTGTTCCTTGAACACGGCGCTGTAATTCTCGGCTCCCAGGTAAAGTAGTCTCTGTTTTTGCTTTGTTTGTTTAACTATTTTACCCTGCGGAATATTTGCGGGTTAAGTCAGTTGGTCAGGACAATATATTTACGAGCTTGAATTTACTTTCTCGTAGATTCAAACAGTAGTTAGAATATTGTCTTTGTAAAAGGAAAAAGAGAGTTGATTTGTGTGGTTTGTTAGCTAATACCATTATTCATTTCCATATGGTGACGACGAATACAACAACGGTTGATTTGTGTCATTTTTATTCATAGGATCCGAAGCAATGGCCTGTAATCGAGCCATTGCCTTCTTATGGAAGAGGGAGAGAGAGGTTAGGAGGAAGACATATAAGCCTTGTTCATGGGGATGGTCTCACAAATGTTGTCATTACAGGTACCCAAAAAACCCTTCATTTATTTTCTTATTCATTTGAGTTGGCTAAGTAGTTGTACCAGTCTTTAATTTAAAAGTTGATAGATTATTAATTTTGGTGGACATAAAAGCTTTTCATCAATGAATTAGTTTCTTGATAGCAACTAACTCACGTTTTATGCATTGTTTTTTGGATCCTGACGTTTGTATGCAATGAATTAGTTTAGTTCAATTTGCTTGTTGCCATCGCTATTAGGTTTCCAAAATATCTGTCCTCTCTTTGATACATAATTTTTTTTTGTAATTATATTTTCCGGAGGGTGCTTTGCGAACGATTATTTGGGTCCTTTCAGGTCATAACGGGACAGTTGACGGTCAGGGAAAAATGTGGTGGGAACTATGGTGGAACAGAACATTGGAGCACACCAGAGGTCACCTCCTTGAAATAAAAAACTCTCGCAACATTCTCATCTCGAACCTCACCTTCCGCAATTCTCCTTTTTGGACCATCCATCCTGTTTACTGCAGGTCTACATCCCCTGCCTTTTTCCTCTTCGTTCTTGTTGTTTTCTACTTGTTATCTATTCAAGTTAATGCTAATCTGTAGTTTATTGGAAATCCAAAACGATAAGATTCTGTTATAAGCTCATTATTCTGTGTTTGTTTCAGTAACGTTGTTATCAAGGACATGACAATCTTGGCCCCCCTTAACGCTCCTAATACTGATGGTATAGACCCAGGTATGCTCCTCTTCTTTCAATTTAACGTAACATCTATGCATCTAAATTATTTATTAAATTTAACATTGAGAAAAGTATGATACCTTTTTTGTGCATATAACTTGTGCATGATGTTTATAAATCAAGTATGTTCTTGTTCTTCCAATTTAGCACAATGTGCTTCATCTAAAGTCTAAACTAATCAAGGAAGTTGGCTTTGCCACCATATAACAGGAAAGATAAACAAAAGCCCAATTCAAGAAGTTAGCGTAAAGAAGCATGTCTCTTTAGAAAATTTAACTTGTATTTTGTGTTTCAGATTCCAGTACTAATGTGTGCATTGAAGACTGTTACATTGAGAGTGGCGACGATCTTGTAGCAGTGAAAAGTGGGTGGGATCACTATGGAATCAAAATGGCTCGTCCAAGCTCAAACATAATAATTAGAAGAGTTAATGGCACCACTCCAACTTGCTCTGGAGTGGGAATAGGTAGTGAGATGTCTGGTGGGATTTCAAATATCACCATTGAGGATTTGCATGTTTGGGATTCCGCAGCTGGGGTGCGGATCAAATCTGATAAGGGTAGAGGGGGTTACATAGCGAATGTTAGTATAAGTAACTTAATGATGGAAAGGGTGAAGATACCCATAAGGTTTAGTAGAGGGGCGAATGATCACCCAGATAAAGGATGGGATCCCAAAGCTGTTCCCCATGTAAAGGGGATTTTTATTAGTAACGTGCTGAGTTTGAATTCAACGAAAGCCCCAGAATTGAAGGGCATTGAGGGGGCATCATTTGAAAGGATATGCTTTAAGAATGTCACAGTACTTGGTCTGGCTCCATCTGCAGTGTGGCGTTGTGAATTTGTTTCGGGTTTTGCAGATGGGGTATTTCCAGTGCCATGTCCTCAGATGGAGGATATGGGCTCGTTTGACTCTTGTATGCAGCGGTGAGTTTCTTTGGATGGCTTTTGGGTACATTTTTGCAGATACGAGGTCTAAGGTTGGAGGGTGAAGTCGAATTACTCTGCAGAAGTTGGGTCTGCTTTTGGAAATGAATGCGAACCACATTGTGGAGATGGGCATAATCAGCTAAGGCATTTTGTAAGTGAGATGTCTAGCTGCTGGTGTTCAATTTGCACATAGAGATGCAGTTTTCTTGTGTATTGGATCCGTTGTGCACAAGCTAGATGGGTGATCTCCAGAATTTACTGACCGGGTTACGTTGCTGTGGTCTTTAATTATTAACCTCGAGAATGATTATTTATTTATAACTGCTGCCTGCGGTGGTGCTACACATACATACTGAGAAAGTAGAGATGATAGCGATGGTGAAAACCGGAGATAAAGCTGAACTGAACTTGTATAGAAATGATACAAGGGTAATGTAACATTGTTTTGTGAACTTCATATTCATTTCGTTTATGATTGATTTATGTTAAGAATTTACAAGATATGTGAGTGTATATCCAGTTCATATATCGTTCAAGATACCAGGTATTCAACCAAAGGTGAAGGATCGTCGAAGCTTTTCAATTAACAAGAAATTCAGCTAGATAGACACATACAGTATTGCATATTTGCTGCGTACATTGTATGATTTAAGGTTGAGAGAAAATTAATAGATTTGGACGGATGGTTGGTTGTCCATTTTGTCTGGGTGATCACCATTTCCAGAAAACATTGGAACCACACTTGTACTTGTCCTTGCCTTCGCACTCCAAACTCAGATCATCAGAGAGAAATGGTACTTTCTGCATCCATACGTACATAACACCAAGTTTAATTAATTAACCAAATTCACTAAACATTGGTGAAACCAAAGAATTTCAGCTCGCTAATAAATCGATTAAATAAAATAAAACTAATTTTAATTAAACTGTATTTAAGCAAGTTAATTGTGAGTTTGAAGATACCTTTTGCTTGGCGAGATCTTGGCAGCCAGTGAAGTTCTCTGGGAACTTGCATGTTCCAAATTGAACAGTAAATGCTCTTGCAAAGTTTGCACCGCTCGTTGCCAGCCTCTTCTTGTCATTCAGTTCCTACATATATAGATACAACAATATAATTCATATACATAATCAAATATATTATACATACATATATATACACACACATGTATCTATATATGTCTGTTTACAGAGGTTGTAGTTAGTTGTAGTTACCTTGTTGGCTTTGCTTTTTTCGAGGTAATCATCAATGACACCGGCATTGGCAGCGGAGTTGGACGAAACAGCGGTGAAAGCAACGGCCGCCAGGGAAAGCAGCGCAGCCCTTCTTCCAGCAGCTGCTTGACTATTTTGTGTGCTAGGCTGTTGGGCCCTGATTGCAACTACTTTGGTCTGAGCAGCTGATTCAACTGAAGGCATGCAAGTCGTCTTTGCTTTTGCAAGTTCAGATATTCCGGCACCGGAGACGGCATAGTTGCATGCCAACACACTAGAGTTCATCGCTGCCATTTGTTCCTCTCCTAGTTTCCTCTATAGTTTTTGAGGAGAAGAATGTAATCTGGATGTATGATAAGGAGTGATTGTGGTGAGATCGTGGCGGATAAGGTGAGATTGCGTTGCTCACATCCTATTGGCAAGCTTTGCACTTTCATGCTTCTGCTACTAGTTTGGGTCATTATTTGGACTTGGTTTGTGTGGTGGCTTTGTGTTCTGGACCCACTTTAATTCTACATTTTTTGTGTGTGCGAAGGTAACAACATTATATACATTATTATTGAGAGATATACGTTGAACTGTATAATGTGTTTCACATAATAATTTCGTATTAAACTTGACGTCTACAAGATTCGAAACTTAAAACCTATCCCTTAAAATATGATTGGAAATTAGAAAATCACATCTTATTCTTGGTGTTTGTACGCCTCTCCTACTAACAATACAGTGAGCAAGAAAGGAACTAAACATGTTTTTGGTGACGGAGACATAACCCTAACACAATATTCACAAATTTGGAATACTAGGTAATTACTTTGTCATAAAGAAATTCACTATAACTCTAATGTGAAACTCCCTAATGTCGGAGACATTTAGGGGGGGTGTATTCAATTGGGATTTTAAGGGATTTTAATTCTTTTAATGAATCTAGGGGTATTCAATTAGGATTTTAAGTGATTCTCTTAAATTCTAGGTGTATTCAATTAGAATTTTAAAATAGTTTATTAAAATCCTTAGAAATCCAAGTGTATTCAATTAAGATTTTAAAGAAGTTTATAACATTCCAGGTGTATTGAATTAGAAATTGATTTTAAAGAATTGAGAAAGTTGAGGAATTAGAGGGAATTGGAGAGATTTCGTAGTGTATTTTAAGTATCCACAAATCTCACCTCTTCCCATGAGATTTTGAGGGAATTGAATCAAAATTTTATATGGAATCTCTACAAATCAATTAAACTCCATAAAAATTCATGGATTTATAAATCCATTAAAATCTTTCACATTCTCAATTGAATACACTCCCCTTAGTGTCGTTATGGACCTTAAAAATTACACAAAACTAACGTGGCTTGCAAGCCCTAAATCTAAAACCTAACTATTTTCTTTAGAAATGTGGTGTGAATGCAGGCGTGCCAATACGCGGCCGAACAGACAAGCATATACTTTGTTCTAGATATTCCTCTCGACCAGATCACTTTACCCCTATGGAAACCTTTCTCAGACAGTTACCCCACGGTCGAGCCATCGACCTGAATAATGAAGATACCTCTTTCATGGATCAAGTCTGGGACAACGTGTGCTGAAGATGCGTGCGTTGATAAAGAACCCCCGGAAAAGTTTACGATTCAAGGAGCGGGCAAGACTGTCCAGACTACAGGATCATAGGAAAAATATCAAAGATACTCACCAATTTCAAAAACCCGGCCATCCAGGCATCACCAAGAATGGCTGGCCAAGGTCCAAGCATGCTGACCTGAGAAATTGCTCCAAAAGCACGCCGTGGGAACCCATAGAGAACCCAAGGTCTACTCCAACAACCGCACAACACTTTCAACCATTCTATTTCAACTATATATCCTTTAGAGCTTTCGTCAAAGATCACCACACACAAATGAGTCCTAAAACATGCCTTATCACACGTTAAAATGCGGTCTAGTGCTTAATATATAGGCAGGCAGTGTCAAGTAGGCGATATTCTTTTACATGAGAGACAAAACGACTTTACATTTTTTTTTTTTGAGAAGTATGTCTCTAATGTAAATGAATTTCGCCCACCTATATAGTATGACTAAAATGTCCAAAAATCTATATCGTGTTGTAAATATTATGTGGATGGTCCACATGAATAGTTTGTTACTATTTATGCACATTATTTTCACTATTCATTTGTGGAAAATTTGTAAAGTGAATAGTGCTTTCTTTTGTTTATATAAAGGAAGAAGATGAGATGAAGTGAGGAGGGTTCACGGGAGAGAAAAGGAAAAGGAAGAAAGGAAGAGAGAGAGAGAGGAAAGAAGAGGAAGAGAGGAAGAAGAGGAAGATGAGGGGGAGATAATAAAGAGAGTTATCTTTGTACTCCTATTATTTCAAATTATAATGAAAGCACCACTGCTGCCCCGAGGACGTACTCCAGTCACACTGACTGTAGAGGAACCTCGTAAATTTTGTGTCTTGTTTCATTTATTCCACTGCACCCACAGTCGATTTTACAACACGTTATCAGCACGAGAAGCTCTCATGTCAGTGGAAAGCACAACGCCACAAATCCTGTTCACCTCCTTCAGCTGGAATCTCACAGATAAGAAACAATTTTCATTTCATCTTCAAATCTCAGTACAATTGATTTTCTTGAAGCAACTATATATATTGTTGTATGACTGTATATCATCCTTTGCAGAAGCAAAAGAGTACATACTCAAAATTCATAAAGAATTTGACAGCCATGTAAACAGCCTCTGAACTCCAACTTGCGGACCTCGGATTAAAATACTTTCTTCTTGAAAGTTGTTCGTCCACTCAGTATTTACAACATATCAAAATTTCAGAAACTTTAACGGTGCGATCGTTGCAGATGTCTGAAATACTAAACCAGTTTCCAATTTCCGCAGAAAACTGGACAGCCACCTTATGAGTACCATAACTCTATTTCTGTAGCTCAAATCGAAATTGTTTCTTCACGAAAGTTGTTTGGTATCCTCTTATCCATATCATACTAAAATTTGAACTAAATCTAACGGTTTGATCTTCTCATAAGTTGCAGACACTCTTGACTCCAAAACTTATGGGAACCGTTTCGACTTTTTCGAAACTCACCGGAGGAGGAACACCAATTGGAACTTATTGTTACTTTTACTTCCTGAGTAACTAAAAGGACTTGTTGTTGTGAAATGAAAACATTAATAAAATAAGGACAATTTGGATGGGTGCCCCGACAGAAGTGAAGGGAAGAAATAATAAAAAATAATAATAAAGTTGATAGTGGGAAGTTGATGAGACCATCACCATTATGAAAAGAAATAATAAAATTATATATTTATTTATGTGCATGGTGTTGGTTTAAAGCCCATGTCACAAGTTCTATTTATTTAAAGCAATTTATTTATAGTGGGTAGAATTATTACCCTTTGCTTTAAAGCTTTGATATTTATGTGAATGGTGCTGAATCAAAGCCCTTGTCACAAGCTTTATTTACTTTAAAGCAATTTATTTACCATGGACGGTTTTACCGCCTATTGCTTTAAGTTTTGATGGTGCTGAATTAAAGCCCCTGTCACAAACTTTATTTACTTAAATGCAATTTATTCATTATGGCTGGAATTACCGTCTATTGCTTTAATTTATTTATTGTACTTATCTTTTGTTACAATGAGTATATATAGGATCTAAAGTTCATTGATCAGATCAGAACCTGCAGTTTCTTGATCCTCATCATATAAAAATGATTGGACCTGAAGTTCCATCACGCAAAAAGATTAGGTATGAAGTCCCTTGATCCTGAAGATCAAGACATGAAGTTCCTAGATGAGTACCGTAAGTTTGAAGTGCCGCAGTGCCTTAACTTAATTGTAATAAAAGCCATAAGAGTCTCAGTTTACAGACTATTAAATAAGGACAAGAAGTTCCTTATGTCCATACTCAAAATGGTTTAGCAGAAGCCTTTATTAAGCGAATGAAATTGATTTCCCGCGCTCTGCTCATGAAAACGAAATTGCCAATTTTCTACATGGGAACATGTAAACTTTACATGATGCATTATTAATTCGGTTGAGACATGTTACCAACCATCAATACTTCTTAGTACAACTCATGTTTGGGAACCAGCCAAGCATTATACATCTACGAGTTTTTGGTTGTGTTATCTATGTGCCTATTACACTGCCACAACGTACTGAAATGAGACATCATCGCTGATTGGGTATTGATGTTGAACACTATCTATCATTCAATATTTGGAACCCTTGACTGGGGATATGTCTACCGCATGATTTACGGACTATGATTTTGATAAGACAGTTTTCCCGCCATTAGGGGGAGAAAATAACATCGTTCCAGAAGAACGATGAGAAAATATCATTCCAGAAGAATGATGAGAAACGACCGTTCCAGAAGAACGAAGATAATTTGTCTTATTCACGAAACAAACAATGAGAAAATGAAATTGAAATAATTGAATGATGCAACGAAAGTGATGAAATCACATATACTTACTGCAAATGTGCCTATAAGAATTGATGTCCCTGTTGGACAAAATAATGAGACAGTAAATGATTTATCTATTGCACGCCTGAAGCGTGGCAGATTTTTAGACTCAAAAGGTTCAGTTATTCGAAAGAAGAATAATATGGCACTACTGAACTATTGCATTCCCGAAGCATAACTGTTGCATGCCAGAAGCATGACAGTCGCCGCATGGATACACGTCCCAGATAGGACAATCCACAGACATAGGAATATTGATGTCTCATGCATGTAGCATGATAGACGTATAGGTTCCAAAGACTCAACTCCCGGAAGTGGAGATTAAAATCCAAGCTCTATAATGCTCAAGAGGAGGTTATGATCCACATTCTCTAAATTATGACTATCCTGGAAGAGATAGCGTCATGCCCTTGAAGAGGCAATGGATATCCAAAGAAATGAAAAGTTTTTATGCATGCGCGTGCACATGAGAATATGGGATCACGGATTGATGATAACCAATGGTAATTTTGGTTTTTACAAGTAGCTACTAAATTCATCAATGAGCTGTGTTAATATTGAGTCACGTTCTTTTGTTCGTCGACAAAAGAAAAATTATTGGCCAAAATGGAGAAAGGCAATTCCATTACAATTTTGTAAGAACGTGGGCAAATGAACTATATATATTTGAATACAATACAAATAGCCAAAAGATGTTGAACCAAGGAGGTTACATATCGGCATTTGTAATACACTCACATAATATGACACAAGGTTACTAATTGAAACCTGAAATTATACTCTTGTAAACGAGTTCATATAAATGGAGAATAATATACGAAGGGTTGTGAGTCGCCCACATCATATCTCCATAAGTAAATCCCTCAAGTATACATGGGAGCAAATTGCTCTGTATAAATTCCAAAGGAAAATGTGTCATGAAGTGTAGAAAATCCTTGAAG